ACTGAACAAAGGGTTCCCACCCCAGAGGAAGTCTTTTTAAGGAATGGAAAACAGTCAGGTCTGTATCTTCATCCGGCCTTGGGAACTGCCTGGCCCACCAGAAGAGGGGACACAGGAAGAAACCTGAAAATGAAAGACTCTAAAGGACTCTCGCTGAAAAGCCGTAGACCCAGGCCAGAGGGAAGAGCAGCTCTACCATGCCGCTGGTACGGGGGTAAGAACAGCTGCTTAGGGCAGGAATTCGCAGGTAGCAGGTTTCTTAGTGGATTAGAAGCAGCTAAGTGGTTTTAGAGAGGTAGCCCTGTTAGTGATCTTGGCAAAACAGGGAGGGTGTGGTGCGGGTGTGGCGGGGAGGGTGTGGGTAGTAAAACAAAAAAACCGCCATGTAGCACTTTATAGGCTGACAAGATGGTTTATTAGGTGATGAGCTTTCGTGGGGCAGACCCATGAAAATTCCCCATATTTCGTAGGGAATATGATCTGAGGAAGTGGGTCTGCCCCATGAAAGCTCATCACCTAATAAACCATCTTGTCAGCCTATAAAGTGCTACATGGCGGTTTTTTTGTTTTACTACCCACACCCTCCCCGCCACACCCGCACCACACCCTCCCTGTTTTGCCAAGATCACTAACAGGGCTACCTCTCTAAAACCACTTAGCTGCTTCTAATCCACTAAGAAACCTGCTACCTGCGAATTCCTGCCCTAAGCAGCTGTTCTTACCCCCGTACCAGCGGCATGGTAGAGCTGCTCTTCCCTCTGGCCTGGGTCTACGGCTTGTCAGGCTTCGCACCCTCCCTGCCATACCTGCTCCCTCCCTGCCACACCCACACCACAGCCGCCCCTTCCCCGCCACACCTGTGTCGACTCCGTGACACCGGTGCCCTCCCCTCTGCACCCACACCCATACCCTCTGTACCACACCTTCCCCATCACACCTGCACACCCTCCCCACCACACTGGTGCCACACTACGCCCTCCCCGCTGCGCTCCCCCTGCCACACCCGCCCCGTTACAAGCTTCTGAAACCTGGCACACGTTAGCAGTCCCCTCAGGAAGCAGGGCGTAAAATCCGCTTTAGTGAGCAAACTGGTTCCATGTTACGTTTAACCAGCTAACTGATTAAAGGGCGGCAGGTGGCTGGAGCGCCCCCCCCACCACGAATTGCTGGGGGAGCCCCTGCTCCAGCCCCACGTTATCTGGCTCCGTGGAGGGGAGGCTTGCCAGTGACATGCTTAAGCAGGCACAGCCCCGCGGGAACGGACGCCCCCCCTGCCCCGGCGCGCCTGCAGCGGGAGGAAGCAGGACGGTGCTTGTGGGGTGCAGCCGCAGAGGCAGTGGCTGGGGGACGGCTGTCCAGCACACGTCCCTAGCTAGGCCTTGCCTGGGCCCCGCTTGGGCGGAGGGACAAGGCGGGGCCAGGAGCCGGACAGAGAAACCACCCAGACACGTGCGGCTGGCAGGCCAGGGAGCTGCAGTGGAGGGAGCCACCGAGCATCAGAGAGCAGGAGGGGGAACGAGTGTGTCCAATCTGTCGTGACCAGAGGGGGGCTCTTCCCACGGGCAGCCGGGGCCGGTCCAGTGTCCGGCAGGCACCAGGAGCCTGCCACCCTGGCTACTGAGAGCATCCCCACGGCAGACACTGCCCCGTAGCCCTGAGCCCCACAGCCAGGCCAGCTCGGGAGCGGAGCAGGGGGCCCGGGCCAGCCCTGGGATGGGACAAACTCGGCTGCCCTGGGGCCAGCACGGAGACCTGAGGTTTGAGCAGACCAGGAGGCTTTGCCCTGCTCAGTGGTGCCTCTCCCATGGCATCCAGGCCAGCTCCCGGCTGTTGCAGCCGCTGCCCCGCGCCCCGGCGGCGATCCGGGGCTCAGGGACGAGACCTGGAGCTGCCACAGGGCGATCGCAGTGGCTCCCGCGAGAGGCCTCGCTCTGGCTCACCTGTGCCTTCCAGCAGCTGGCCACCATCCCGCTGCAGGCCTGACGTCTCTGGCTCCCCCGTGGCGATGCCGGATGTGCTGCACCAGCCTCCTGGTCATCAGACGGGGGATGCCGGGGCCTGAGGGTTCTGCCAGCCCCTCCCTGGAGATGCCCCCACAGCTCCCTGCTCCTGAAAAGCTATCTCAAGTGGAAGCCAATTAGGCAGAGGGCTCTGATTGGCTGAATCTTGGTACTAGACCCACCCCCATGCATGATCTCCGGGCGACTCTTGTCTTTCATAGAGTGATTACACTGGGCACTAAATCAGTCCCCTTAACCCTCTTACCCCGCAGACGCAGGGATTAGCGATCCCTGGAGAGAAGCTGGGCACACGCCAGGCAGGCAGCGCGATGGCGGAAGCACCTCCAGAGCCCGCAGTGAGAGCAGAGCCTCCTCTGGCCGCCGTGTCTGTGCGGAAACCAGCCCCTGCCCCGCCACCAGCTGGCGAGGCGGGTCCCGCCTAGCACTCGACCGATGGCTCTCTGAGCCCAGGGCCAGCAGCTGCTAAGAGTCGTCTTCACCGTGCCCGCTCCCCACTCCCCACTCCCTGTGCCGGCCAAGGCCTGCTCGGGTCCCGGCCGCGTCAGAGGGGCGAACCTGCTTGGCATGGAAGGACACTATGGAGCGTCTCTCAGGAGTCACCGGGCTCTGGGCACGGTGCGGCTGCCCCATTGCAGACAGGCGCTAGCAGGAGAGGGGAACTTGCCCTCTGAACACAGGCCGAGGAGACTGGGCGGGCTCTAGGGAGGGGAGGCCGACAGGAAGGGCGATAAGAGTCTAAAGTGGGGGAGGCTCTCGTAACACAGCAAGGAAGGGGCCCGACGACACCGAGAGGTGGGCAGACTTCACCCGAGCCAGGAACTCCTGGCCACAGGGAATCAGCGTGGCCTGGGCCTCTCTGTGGCCAGCCAGGATATTCAGTGGCCTGGTGCAAGTGAACTCGGGCGGGGCGGGGCATGTGCTGCTCTGGGGCTTAGGCCGGTCTCCGCCATTAGGGATCCGACTGGGCCTGTGCATGGGCCGACTCTGCAGCTGCCGCCTGCCGCTGTGCGCAAGAAAGCCCCTCCCACCAGCCCGAGCTCTGGAAGGGCAAAGAATCGCAGCAGACAGGAGGGTTCTCATCTCTAAGAAGCAGAAACAGAGACCCCCCGGCCCTAAAGGAAGTCCAGTGCGGACAGATTCTACAGCTGTTACCTCTTGGAATTAGAGACTGCACCCTTGGGTGTGTGCGTGGCCTACCTGAGCCTGTAAACTGCAGGTTTCATTTCATAGTTCATAACTCCTTCCCTAGCAGAGCGCAGGGCCGGCTACCCGCGCTGCCTTTGCTGCGAGATCTGAGCACAGTGACCTGGGAGAGGAGGTGGGACTCTTGGGATTGGGAACTACCTGAATACTTGGGGATTGGGGGAACTGACCGTTCAGAACACAGGCGGGCTGCTGTGCCCAGGGGACTCTCTGGTAAGACTCTGTAGGGTGAACATTTCTGAGGCAGGCTGATATTCTGTTAAGAGCCCAATCTAAATTCAGACTCTGGGAATGGCACATGAACACAGTACATGGTTATTCCCCTTCCCCACCAGTCCAGCCCATCAACGGAAAGCCATCCCCCAGGATGGGAGGCAGGACAAGACACATTCAATGGTGCTAATGTCTCTGCTTTAATCCCCAGATGGACCGCATCCCGCAGAGATCCCTTCTTGGAGCTGACAGACATAGCACCACTTCACTGATAACTGATGTCCAGACTAACAGGCTACATCTCTATTGCTTTGTTTAAATACTTCTTGTACTGGAAACACGAGATAACTTTCTATTACTGTTCTTATCTTGCCTTACTGTTAGCATCTATCTGGGACCCCTATCACTTTCATCTGCCTATTGAGCATCCTATATAACTAGCTGTGACCTATTGTTCAGCAGTGTGCACTGAGCCCTGGCTCTGAATAGTCCTGGAGCCTGGACACCATATAACTCGCTGCCCATGAACTCGGGAGTCACCGAGGTACTCGGAGTGCCAGAACTGCACTAGAGCAAGCACTCTGGGAGG